TTTAGTATCTGAAATAGCAGAAAATAGGAAGTGGAAAATAATTTCAACAAAACCATTTAACAGCAACGATAACGACAGAAGCAGCAGCAACAGTATCACTAACGAAACAATAACAACAACAACGACAACAACAACAACATCAACATCAACAGTAGTAAAATGGCAGTAGCAACAGGAACTGTAGACAACATCAACATCAACAACAACAACAACAACAACAGCAACTGTGTGAGATATAACAGCTCACTGAGTTTGAATGGCGGAACCAACCAAGACTTTGAAATTGAGGTAAGGTGAAGCCACTACAACAACCGAGTTGGAAGTGGACTCATATTGGGAATAAAGCGGGTGTCAGTTATCTTCAACGTTGTCGCCAGCTCCAACCTGTGCTAGGTGCAGCGAAATTTCAGCGTGGTCGGTTGCGAGTTGGCCCACCCCAAACATAACAAACAAAAAAATTGTCGGCCGTGAAGCAGCACGGTTTGTGTACCAACGGTGTTTTGTATTGTCGCCGAAAATGAAGACCATTGCTGATTGCCGTTGTTGCTTTTTCGATCTACTCCGTCCCCGTCCCCCCCCCATATCTCCTCTCCCCTATTTTCTCCCTTATATCCAAGCGGCTGTCGCAACTTGTCGCAAGCGCGACCCAACAACAATCATTGCGCTTGCATCCAAATATACACATAGAACAAGCATCAACGCGCTTCTGACCGCTGACCGGTATACTGCTCGGGGTTTTTTTTTTTCCATTTATTCAGTCATTCGCTCATTCTAATTTATTCTTTCTCTTTCTCTCTCATTCCATACTATCCTTCGTCTCTTTATCTCTTTTCCTCCCTCTCGGTGATTCTCTCTTAAACATAAAGGCGGCCATTTCGTTCTTCGTTGGTTAACAGTGTTCGTTGTATTTCGACTTGAGTTACTTCCGCAAAAAAAAAAAAAATCAACTACAGTACAAGTTTCTTCTCCCAATGTCGAAACCGTATGGTACCATTTGGTTTATCTCCATTTTCCAGTGAAGTTGTGTTAAGCTATCGTATGAAATTAAAAAAGTTTCAATGAAATTACGTGATGGTTGCTCGAAATGCAATTCCTAAACTGCTACTGATTTGAAATTGTTTCTTAACTCCAAGAGAATTAGTTGTAATCTGAACAAGAATAAAAATGAAAAATAACTAAGAAAAATATACTGTAACAAAAATTTCTCAATAGTTTAAAATATCTATTTAAAACAAATCAGAAACAGTCATTTAGTCTTAGTTTTTTAATTTATCTTAAATTTATTGTAACAAATGTGCTAAATACGCAGTAGTTTAACCAATAAATAGATTTTTAATTATTCCTACTAATTATTCCTACATACAAGAGCAGAATTTCTTCTGGTAACGGAGATCAGTGAATTAGTGAAAATTGCTAATGGTCATGATCACTGTCAAGATAATAATTTATAAACAATCGTTATGTTTTGTAAGCAGTTTTTAATTAAATTAAGAAAAAATAGACAAAAGAAAAAAGAGTTGGGAATTTTAATTTATTTATATAGTGTTAAAGTAATAAAAACAACAGTGAACAAAAGAATCTGCAAAGAAGAGAAGACGACGATGGCTGAGTGAATTTGTGTGTGTCTGCGTATCCGTGTGTCTGTGAATGCTTGTATGGTTCGGTTTTCTTTTTTTTCTTTTCTTTTTTCAAGATAAAGGTGCTAAAATTAGCAATGACAGTAGAAATTTGAAGCATGCGCAAAAGGTAATCATCAACATCGGCTGAAAACTGGACACTTTCAGTCACTGATATATCTGTTTGTTCGGCTTTTAGGTCCACCTCATTTATGTGTTTATACAATCAAACAGAAATCGCGCAAAAAAAAAGTTTTTTTTTTGCTCTTTTTCCAAACTCCGCTTTTTTTTGTTTCTCGTTATTGTAATTACTGTAGCTAGTTCTGCAAAAATCTTGAAATACTTCTTTTTTTTTTTTTTTTTT